AAAGTCGAGAACCGACAGTTGGAAGAAACGTCCACCACGCGCTTCCGCGACGCGTGCGCGATCGAGTCAAATTTCGGGAAAAAGGGGCAAAATTGGGGAAGGGGGGATAGCTCGTTCGGCAGCACACACTCGGGGAATGCGCAAGCGGCCTGAACCACGCAGCGCCACTCCAGGCCTTTGGGCGGGAGTGGGGGGAGGAGCAGATTGCTCTTCCCCCCACTCCTCAAGGGTTTGAGGTTGCCTGGAACAGGGGTGGTGGAGGGACCGCACAGGGTAGGAGGGTGTGTGTGTGTGTGTGGCGAGGACTGCAGGGAACACGGTGAAGGTATTCACCAATACACCGGCTGACTACCGACAGCTAGTAACCCTGCTAGATGCAATGAAGAGGCCCTTCTTCACTTACCAACTGAAGGAGGAAAGGATGGACCAGAGGGTAATTCGAGGACTATCCAGGGAGATGTCAATTGACATCAAAGAGAATCTAGTGAGCTAAGGGATCGCAGATGAAGACCAGGAACACCAAGGAGCGGCTACCGCTCTTCCTCGTGAAGACGAGGACGGCGGAAAAGCTGCAGGAGGTCCAGAGGCTGGCCATGCTCACGGTCAGCTTCGAGAAGAAAAAGAGATCGACCGAGCCCAGCCAATGCTACCGCTGCCAGCGGTACGGGCACCAAATGAAATTAAAAACATAAACAGTTTACATAAATTCAAAAAGTATTAAGCAATTTCTAGTACAGTCAGAGCCTTATACAATAGATGAGTTCTATGGGAGTTGTAATAGTATGAGATAGTAGCTATTTTAAGATAAATAACCATGTAACACAAAAGAAAAGGTCTCAGGTAAACTACTACAGTTATAGTGACAGTGACGCAACATTTCATTTTGTAGTGGCTATACAATTTTTGTAATGTCATTGTACAATTTGGAATATAGATTATTATTATTATTATTATTTGTATTATTATTATTATTATTATTATTATTATTATTATTGACTAGGAGACTAGTCCCCCTCCCCAACGGCGTGGAAGCAGAGGACGAGGACCAAGACGACCACGACCTGATCCCATCAGGACCAGGATCAACCAGGGCCAGGACCAGGAACAATATATAGGTAAGAGGACTTGAAACTCTTGATTTTTCGAAAACAAGAGTTTCAAGAGAAACTAGCAGACCCTCTATCGATGATCGCTTAACGACATCGATAGAATGTGCGAGGTAAAGGGAACCAACCCGGCGTTCCCAGAGACTGAAACACATGAGGAGACGTAGGTCACGCACAACACATGGCCTACCGAGACGCTGATGAGTCGGGCCACGCGGAGGTTTAGGGTTTAGTGGGTATTAGGTGGCCTCCTCAAGACAACCTGGAGACCTACACACGCTGTAGCTCGGGCTATGGTATGGTGCATAAACGCATTCCCCCCTCACCAGAAAAAAAAAATGTGTGCGACGTCCAGGTATCATAGGACGGAGTGTGGGCAAATAAAAAGGCGATTTACCACAACGACAAGTTCATAGCAGCGGCAGCCAGGAAATGGCCTGGGAAGACTCTGACATTTGCGCCGTTCATTCTAGGCGTGCGCAGAGTCTTCCACCACTGCAACTAACCAACTGTAGAATTGTTGCGAATGCCACAGCCGCTGAAGAACAGCGCAGTACACTCTGTGCTCAAGTGGGGGTCTAGTTCGCATTCATACTTCATGAGGAATGTAACAGGCCAAAACACATCCCGCCGCGGCTATAACGGAGCGAATCGTGGAAACGCCAATGCTCGAAGGAGGGGTCGCATTCCAACGGATCCTGCAAACTTACAACGCAGCGCTCCTAAGGCAACCTCGTCCCGAGGCATACGCGAAACATCGATTCGCGATAGGTCTGGAGGGCGCAGTCGAGAGGCAGCCGTGCCTCCACCTCCCGTAAATTTCGTCCAGGGTGACATCTTGACACAATCTGCAGTCCCCCCACCTTCCGGACTTGTCGACCCGTCTGCAACAGACGTATGCATTTCGGGCAAGACAAGCGCCAGCATAAGGTTGCGACTCGCAACCGAAGGGCTCCCCGCGCGAAGGGAAGAACTGTTAAACTTATACAGGCAGTTTTACCTTTCGTACGGCCTTTCGGAGGCAGACGCCGACTCGGATCTCAACGCGCTGCACAATCTGACCCAGACTGAACGGATGGTACACTTACAAAGAGCCCTGGAAACGCAGTATAAATATACAAGACCTCTCTAGCGTTCCTAGGTCAGTAGCAACATCGTGACATACTCCGTTGCTGTCAAATTAGCCTGCGTGCTGGCACCATTATATGTGAACCCATCTGCGCATGGGGTTAAAAATCCAACCCTTCGGAGACATGTATTTATGAATGAATAAATATTTTACATAGCCAAATGGCTGGTCATCTAATTAGTGACGCGCATGAATGGATTAACGAGATTCCCACTGTCCCTACCCACTATCTAGCGAAACCACTGCCAAGGGAACGGGCTTGGAAAAATTAGCGGGGAAAGAAGACGGGTAAACGGCGGAAGTAACTATGACTCTGCAACTTCCATTTTTCAATAACGCAACTCCCACAGTTTAGATCGTCAAAATTCACTAATAGGCATTAATTGTGGTTCAGCAAGGTTCCACGAACTCCCCCTGCAATTTTTTTCGAAATCCATTTTTCAAACCCCCAACTCCCGGGGTTGTTACCGTTCGATTCGAGAACTCCCGGTGTTGATCAACACCAGAATACCCACTGTATCCGCCCCCGACAGGTGAGCGGGATCGCGCAATTCTTCGCACCTGGAGGGCCAACTCCCTTCTTGTGCTTGAAGTGATCCCGCAACTCCGCGTCGGATTTAGGTCCTTGGCTTGGTCTCTCTACACCAGTGGAGTGGAAACTTCCTGCCTCAACTCCCGAGGCCAGGAAGACCCCGTGACGTCGAACCCCGCAACTCCCGGGCAGTAGCAATAGCTTGCACTGCTCTTAATCTGAAACCCAACACGATTCGGTAGTATATCTTACCCCGAGGCTCCGGCTCCATCTGGTAGGTGGATGGACAGCCATTCCTCCGCCTCAAACAACAAGGCGGAAGCAAAGTCGAACGACGCAACACGTGGCGACACGAGGAGGAACAATACTGAGAATACCTCTCAACGTATGCAAACGAGGATGGCTGAAAATGTTACCGCAACGGCTTCCAAGAACAATTCTGGAGGTTCGCCATCCCCAACATCACCCCATGGCAGAGGAGGCCGACCGGCCAACAATTGTCCCAGTGTTCGGTCATTCACTACACTCAAAGGCCTCCAAAACCACTCAAGACGATGTCCACAGGCCCCCCTGAAAAATCCACAGGGGGCCATCAACACCAACACCACAGACTGGCAACAGTGCAGCTTCTGTGACAGGGCTTTTCAAACCTACCCTGGCATGAGGCTGCACACCAAAAAGGCCCACCCGGTGGAGTATAACCGCCAATTGGCAGAAAGCGCACCGCACTCGGAGGCGGAAATCATGATAACGTTAGCAAATATAGAGGCTAACCTGACCCCCGAGCAAAGGTACTTCTTAAAAGACATGGTGGCGGCAACGGGGCTGACAAAACATCAGATCCGTCATCGAAGAGATAAGCCGTTATATAAGGAGTACCCAGCCCTGGCGAAAGAAGAAGCTTGCGCACGACTAGGAGCGCAGACTGCTGCCACAACGGAGGACATGAGCAGACTTCCACAAGCTAGTTCTCCAGTCAGCAAAAGCAGCCATGCTCCGAAAAGTCAGAAGTTCAGCCCAAAGCGAGCTATCGGCTATGGACTACGGAAGTTCCGAAATCACATTGGTAGCAGGGGTACCGAGGAAGGAGTAGACGCGCCACAGAGGCAAAACTCAACAAATGCCATCTGTGGACCACAGTACGTCTCCACACCTCCATCTGCTGAACGAAGAACTTCCGTTGGGCGACTCACCACGAACGAAACAACAGAGTCCACGCATCCCAAGAGACTGGGCCTTCAGGAACCGCCCAACCAGCTAGAAGGAACGCCCAAGAAGATTCGGACATAGACGAAGACTGTGCTAGTGTGAGTGACAGTGCCGTGCAATTCAATATTGTAAACTCTAATGTTGTAACTGACGCGGACAGAGACACTAATCAACTGGCACAATCGCGGGTTACTTTGGGAGGCTCGTTGCGAGAGAGCTTGCTGGAAACGAAATACACCGAGCTTCCGGAGGAAGTTGAATCCTTGATAGACCTGGCACTACAAGGTCGCAACGAGCCTCTAACGAAGGCTCTCGACGACTTCATAGCGTCGCGGACCAAGTCTGCCAGAAGACAAAGGAGCACCCGCCGGCCAGCTGCGAATAACGCCCCAAGACAAGAAGAATACAACTACGGCCGTTTGCCGCTACGTAGTCTGGTTCCGGAAAACAAGTCTGATGACGAACCAGATCTCGCTAGCCCTCAAACTTGTTTCCTTCTCGAGCGTGACGATCTGTTAGCTGAGATGGCAGCTTCTCAATAAGACTGTCCTGAAGTAAAGGATGCCATCGGTGAATGGGAAATGCTAAGGTCGTTATCTCCGGAGGAAAGACAACGTCTTGAGCCATGGGAAAGTTGTCTTTGGGATTCATTTGAGGTCAAATATGGTCTGTGAAAATAACCATCCATGGAAAATAGTCAAGCCAGGCAGCTACTAGTTCCAAAACACAAGCTTGACCGACTACTCCATCGATTCCACGGCCACGAGGATGCTTGTCAGCCTGGGGCACTGGAAACGTACAAATCTGCAACTATACTGTACTACTCGACAGGTCTAATGGACTTGATGAAACGCTTCGTACGCGCAACCAGCCGCATCCCAGATGCCGATTCTCCCTCAAGAACCTTTCCAGGTCATAAGTATCGACCCCATGTCGCCTTACCCAAAAACCCAGGCCGGAAATATGGTCCTGTTTGTGGGAACTTGCATCGCAAGTAAATGGGTAGAGGCCGAGCCCAGGCCGGATGCAGTGTCAAAAACAGCCACCAGTTTTCTGCATAGCATATGCACAAGGTGAGGATACTGAAAAGAGGTCATCAAATATGGTTCAAGCACTTTTCAGGATCCACCTCGAAAAAAACATCATTGAGCACCGGATCTCATCAGCACCGAAGAGCGAACCCGGTTGGGAAACGAAATGCAGAGCTGAAAAAAAGCAATACGTGCAAGAGTACTAGGAAAGACACCTGAGCAGTATACTCTTCGCACTTCGAAATAGGACGAATCTCACCACGGGAATTATCCCTACCGAGTACGTCCTAGTGTATCTAGATACACCCTATGTAGGCCTGGTGAATGGAAATATCCAAATTTTCAGTTCAAGCGTGCCCACAGGACTGCCAAAATTCGGCAAAAGCGCCGCAAACAAATAGTATATGCCAGAAATTTGTTCCCGCACTCCACTGACACCCCAGCTGTCTCATTTAAGCCTAGAGACCAGGTCATGAACGGCGAACAACGAAATGAACTATTTGCAAAAAACTGGACGAGTATTTATTTCACTGATTATTTTTATTTTCATTTTATTTCATGGTTTTGAGTGATACCATAATAATAATTTTAGTGGGGAGTTTTTGTTTTGAAAAAAACAGTTACGGGTAGAATACCTTGAGACAGGAACACCAAAGACCAAAGTATTATTCGAAAACAACCCTACCTGCTTTAAGATAACCTAACTTTTCATCTTTCAAATATGATCGATCATACAACATGAAAACTTCGTCTATCTTTGTCGGATCCATGCAAACTAGCAATACAGTTTGTTTAGACAATAAAATTCTGTTTGTCTCTGTCTAACATATCTGAAACTTCTTTAAAAATATTCACAAATGTCTGTCGTTTGTCTTTTCTACAGACTAAAATGATGACGTAATCGTCATCTTTCGTGATTTCGACTTTATCATTGTAGTAACCGTTTGTCTCCTAAGAGAAACCTTTTTGACAATTCAACGAATTTAAGTCGCATAGAAACAGTATTTACACTTGTAACACTGGTGGTCAACTCCGGCTGTTGATAAAACATCACGTGGACCACCGATGGTACAGGTCGTCGTCAATGGGTAAAAAAATCGGATTAACAAAATTTCTTCATAGCAGCCGCTGTGTTCTGGCATTTAGTCTTTTACAAAATGAATCCAGGTGTACAAAAAACGACAACAAAATACGGCTTTGATTGTCACCTGTCAATAGGGGGAATTTTGAAATGTTACTAAATAAGAAAAAGAATTTACTATTCTCTTATGTCTCTTAAACAAAATATAACGTCCTAAAGATTCAAATTTCATCACTATACACCATTCGTAATCAACTGACAAAATTTTTAGGTAAAAATTTATTAATCTCCCATGCGTGTCCGGCCAATAAAACCACATGCACTGACATAATCTTCTTTAGTGTAAACGTTTCAATCACAAATGTGACCTTCAGTAGAATGGCAATACGGTATATTTTATTTCTGTCTTCATTATCCATTTGACGTCACGCGAAACCAGAAGAGTCCAAATGCGAATTAATTGGCCAGACAAGCATGGGGGATTATCGACATTTAGACCACATGATAAGTGTCAGATGTTACACAATAATTTATCGTTTTTCCTACTCTGTTTAGCTGGAAAATCACAATTGATAAAAAGTGCTATAATAAAACAAAAATGTTATAAAACCTCCCAATTACATTTATATTTTAATAAATAAAAGCTTACTTCTATGTTTGCAAGAAGGTGGTAACAAACCTATTTTAAGGTGTTCAAGCGGTGTCTGTTGAAAAAGATGCTGATATTATCCAGATCGAATTACTGTGCTTGTCTTTGATGCAACTTTTAGTATAAAACCTGAAAATGATAAAATACAGATTACCTAGTAATTAATTGTTCACTTTATTGGGCAAACTCTACGTAACACCGTTTCATTGGGAACGATGATGAAAGGGAATGATAAAACGATGCTTAATAGTAAATAGAGCTTTGAGAAACGTCCAAATTAAACGTTTGATTTTGTACGATTCAAATGTTGCTTCAAGTATGGGCTAAATTCATGGTCGGGAGTTCGTTAAAGAGTTGTGAGAAATTTGACAGAAATGTGCCCAGGTCTAAAGTTTGTACATGTCAGTCACAAGGTAGCAAAGAACGTGCCAATCAAGATGACGAAAGAATTGCTCATGGTGTGGATGACCGATGAAAACAGTCAAAAAGATTCTAATGAAAAATAATGAAAAATGGAATTAAAATATCGCCGTACCAAGCAATGTTTGGTTGTGATGTTAAAATTGGCTTAAAGACATCAGTTCTGTCTCTCGAAGCGATCGAAACGATCGGGAATGAGGATGATCTGGAGAAATTTCTTGAGCAGTTGAAAAATAACAGGTTTTAGCTATAACACGTATAATAAGTAGAATAAATTCAAACAATTTAAAAATAGCCAACAATTTTAGATTCCCGAATCTTTCAAAAAGTGTCGCAGTTTTATTGCACTGTTCGGAAATTTACGATAAACAGAAAAGTCACCACTGGACACCTAAGCCAAACGCTTGTGATGACATCACAACCAAGAAGTTGAATTTTCCAACACACGCAATGATGAAAGATCGCCTATTACTGGAAACTCATGAAAAACAAATACAGAAAAGGCTGATTAGAAAGTCAAATATGACACTGTCGTAAATTGTAGATCATTGCAAGACTACAGAAATGTCCAAGCAGCATAAAAAAGGAGAAACAGTAGAGCAAGTCATCTTCGTAAAGCAATGCAGGAAATGTGGCAGAGAGCATGCACTTAGAAAAAGTTCGGCATTTAACAGGACTTTTCCAAATTTCAGAGGAAAAATCATTTCGCCAAGACGTGCCACTTCGAAGAAAGGAAGCAAGAATTGAGCATGAATGAATGGATGAATCTTGAAATTAGAGGCATTCCGGCCACCATAAGGAGTACCTCTACAATCCTTAGATCACACGCCTCGCCCTTTTAGCGAAGTTGAGAATCGCCTTGAGTCCAAGCTCCTTGACGTCCTGAGGGTCCAAAGTAATGAACCCCAGTATAATCTGCCTATAGTAGCTCAGAGCTTCACAGTGACACAAAACGTGCGCCGATGTCTCTTCCTCTACCCCGCAGCGTTCACACAAGGGATCCTCAGCCACCCCCATCACGTGCAGGTGCCGCCTTAACGTGTTATGGCCAGACAAAAGTCCCACCAGCAACCTTAGGTTGGCTCTATCCAGAGATAGGCAGAAGCGTCCATCCTTAGCACTGGGCCCTTCAATGAGTTCCCGTGCCTGGCGGAGATGTCTAGAGATACTTCTCCATTTCTGAGAGTGTTGTCTTGCAACTCACGTCTCCATTTTCCTCCTAGCTTTATGCGCGGTCACTCCTAGAGCTGGCTCAGGACCAACGAGCTTGCTGGCTGGTCCTGCCTTCGCCAGAGTGTCCGCCGTCTCATTGCCCCTTATCCCAGCGTGCCCCGGTACCCATATTAACGATACCGGATGCCTCGCTGCGAGGCAATCCAGAGCCTCCCTGCATTGCAATACAAGACTCGAAGTAATCTTACAGGCACTTGCACTTATACTTGCAGCCTGGCTGTCGGATAAGATTGTTATTCTTCTCCTAGGCCCACCCTCCTCCAGAATGTGAGATACACAAGCCAGAATCGCAAAGATTTCCGTCTGGAAAATAGTGGTGTATCCACCGAGAGGCAGAGATAGCCTAGTTCTAGGCCCAGAGACCCCAGCACCTGAGCCCTCTTCGGTGACCGAGCCGTCCGTGTACCAGACCTGCCCGCTCACTTCGGGCATCCCACTCCTCCCTCGTTGGATACTCCACAATAAACTTGCGGTTGAAGCGATATTTAGGGGTAATACGATCACCCCTGCTTAGAAGGACGGGGTCATCCCTTTCTAATTCGACTAAGATGGCAGTATGCCCCTTAACCGGATTCAAGAAAGTCCAGCTGCCCTGACTCCACAGTCGATGAGCGACTACTCTCGCTTCACCGCGGATCACCAGATCCAACAGTGGGAGATCCAACATAGCTTCCATTGCACTCAATGGCGTTGTTCGCACTACGCTTGTAATACTAATACAGGCCAAACGCTGAATTTTATTGAGTTTGGCCTTTGTTGTCTCAGTTCTAATGCAAGGCCACCAGACCAGGGGGCCGTACAAGAGAGATGGACGTACTATCGTCGTGTAGAGCCAGTATACCATTTTGGGTTTAAGCCCCCACCTTACCCCGACAGCACGTCTACAAGCCCACATCAAATTGCGAGCCTTGCTAACCTTGTATTTCACATGCTCTCTCCAGTTCAGTTTGCAGTCCAGGATAATTCCCAGATATTTCACTGTCTGGGACAAAACTAGTCTAGTCCCAAAGAAGGTCGGCATGACCAGCCCGTCAAGCCTTCTTCTCCTAGTGAATAGGAGCAGCTCGGTCTTTTCAGCATTAACAGAAAGATCGACTTCCCTACACCACGATTGCACGGAGCGCAGAGCGCCCAGCATAATTTCCGAGACTGTTCTACAAAAACGCCCCCTACCTACTATGCTTACGTCATCAGCATAGGCTTGCACGTAGACACCCATAGGATTGAGCAAGTATCAAGCAAGAAGGGCCCATGCCATAGAAGAAGAAATTAAGGAAATGTTGAAGTTAAATGTTTACAAGAAACACCAACGTATTTGATCATTGATGAAAGAGTGAATAATGGTTCTTCAAGTTCTTGGCACGCTAATATCCAAGTATTCAAGACCTTTATCAGATTTATTTTAGATACTGGAGTAGAATCCAAAAAACAATAAAACCTACAAATGTCTTTATAATTTCGTATGAAAATTTTAAATCAAAAGCTCATTGAAATTTAGCTTCAAAGGTATAAACAGAAGTGTAAGCTTTTTAATATCAGATGTTGTGTCAGAGCCAATTAGGGGGTTAGGAGAGTGTTTAGAAAGTTATATAGATATAATGGATATTCTAAAAGATGTGGCACAAAATGTATTGGCTTTAATTTTAACGAGCACAAAATAATATCAAACGAAAGTTTGTTTACTTTATATATATATCCAAACCTGAAATCTGTCGAATACTCCAGAATGAAAACATTTCACGCAAAACCATTTATCGAACAATAGATAATACTATGTCTGAATCTCCCAAAAAGTGGAAGACCACGTGATTTACTGCACAGAG